CGTATGAATTTTAATACGAATGAAATTATTATGCAACATATATTAACGTTAAACTTTTTTGATCTTCAACCTAAAATTAGCTCTTTTAATAAGATGGCGTAACAGAAACATTTTTTTTTCTGCAGTTCAGATTTGCAGATTATACTACAAAAATAACTTCACTACATAATTGACTATGCATATTCATCTATATTCTTAATTCTGTAATTATTTCTCCCTAAAAAAAAAAAAAAAATAAAAAAATGGCTGATATTTCTTCGATTCTTCAAGGAGGCTATAATCATCCGACATCTAGATTATGGCAATCAGAAAGAAGTTTACGAAAAGCTTCGTTAATGTATCCAATTTTTATAACTGATATGCCTGATGCAGAAGAAAACATTTCTTCTTTACCTGGTCAAAAAAGGTAATTTAGTATCATACAGATGCTTTATGCTTGTTGAAGATGTTTAAATTTGTATATTTAAATTCGCACAAGATATTATAACTTTATATTTTTAAATTATCAAATAAAGATGGGGTATTAATAAACTTGAAGGATTTCTTAAACCTCTTGTTGAAAAAGGGTTGAAATCTTTAATGTTATTTGGTGTTCCTACTAGGGGGAAGGTAAATTTTTGTTTTTTTCAGTCATTGGCCGGTTATTCATTCATTACACAAATTAATTACATGAATAAACTGAATAAACTGATGAAATTCTATTAATTCGAAATTAAAGGATGCAACAGGGTCAAAAGCTGATGATTCGGATGGACCAGTAATTTTAGCAGTAAAACTTATTCGAGACAAATTTCCGGAATTATTTATTGCCTGTGATGTTTGTCTTTGTGAATATACAGATCACGGTCACTGTGGTAAATTAAAGGGATCTTAAATTATTATCACATCAAGTTTTTTATGATAATCAAAATTATTTGTTACTTTTTAGGATACTTGAATGAAGATGGTACTATCGACAATTTGTCTAGTGTTAAGCGCATTGCCGAAGTGGCGATAAGATATGCTAAAGCCGGTTAGTTATTAGTTATCCCTAAAAATATTAGATCAATTTTATGATTATTAATTAGTTTTTTTTAAGGTGCCCATTGTGTCGCACCATCAGATATGATGGATGGACGAATCAAAGCTATCAAAGAATCATTAATCAGAGAGAAGCTTGGTAATAAAGTTTTATTAATGAGTTACAGCGCGAAATTCGCTAGCTCTTTTTATGGACCATTTAGGTAATGGATCACATTATTACAATAAATGTTCTACAAGGTTTAAAAATAATTACTCAAATTATTTAAATTCACAGAGAAGCTGCAAATTCTGCACCAGCTTTTGGTGATCGTAAATGCTATCAACTTCCTCCGAACGCCAGAGGTTTAGCACGTCGCGCAATTGTAAAGTTCATCTTCAATTCACATGCATTCTTGTTTTTTTTTTTGTACTTATTGCCCCTGCATAATAAATCAATAGGCACGTGACCTTAGTGAAGGCGCGGATATCATAATGGTCAAACCAGGAATGCCATATTTAGATATATTACGAGATGCAAAGGAACTGTGTCCTGATGCCCCTATAGCTGTTTATCAAGTTTCAGGTGAATTTGCAATGATTTGGCGTTCTGCAGAAGCAAAAGTTTTTGAGCTCCAAACAGCTGTTTTTGAAAGTATGGAATCTTTTCTGAGAGCTGGTATGTTAATTATAGTATTCATCAAGAAAAAAAAAATGGTCTGAAAGCTACGTTAATTAGCATTTATCAGAAAAAAAAATAAAAATTGACAATACTTTTTATATTTATCTCAAAGGTGCCAACTTAATTTTAACTTACTATACACCACAACTTCTCGATTGGTTAGACGCTTAAATACTTAGAACAGCGCGATAGTTCTTTATTCAAAAAAATTTTTTTTTTTTATATTATTAGTACAAATAGAGATCTAAAGAATCAATCTTTTCTCGAATAATTATAAGAAAATTCTTTTCAAAAAAAAAAAAAGAATAAAATTAAATAAATATATTCATTGTCCTCTTGAATTCTCGCACCATGTAATGTAATATGTATATACACGATTGCTTATGAATTGAATTCACATGAGATCCAAAGTTCAAAATTGATTTCAAATGCATTCAAAGTATATATACATATATTAGCATTAAATGAATTTGAACTTAGCAGTTATGGTAAATATTAAGGAAAAGTATTTATGTAAAAGAATATAATAAAGGATATCAATGAAAGTGTAATATACAGAGTTCTTTGTTTTTGAAAGATGTTGAGTTCTTTGAAAGTATATATATATATATTAAATGAGCCATGAAATGAAACAAATAAATATAATTTTTTTTAAAAGCCAAATAAAAAAATTTTTACAAGAAAAATACAGTGATTAAAAAATAAAAAAAAAAAAAAGTACATGAAGGTGGTGATTAAAACAAATTTACTCACGCACCCCTTCTACACAAGAAAATCAACATCTTTCATTCATCCTTCATTATTGCTTTTCGCATATTTAGCTAATAACTCTTCACGTTTTTTCTCCCAACGACGCCATTCTCCGGTGTTACCAAGACTACTATTATGGGAACCCATTGGATGATAGTCAGTTGGAACAGGGCTATCATTTACCCAAAGCATTGAAGGAGTTGTTGGTCCCCCGTAACCGTACATATAATCATCAGTACCATTACGCCAATTTCTCCCATATTGCACAGTGCTATTAGCAGTACCAGTACTTAGAGTTCTTCCTCTTCTTTCAAAGGGACGATTTCTATTATAATTATAATATGAAGCACGTCTAAAGTGATGCGTTGCAATAGTATCACCAAGAAGGGGAACTCTTTCTTCATCGTTGCTTCTGTATCTACAACATCGACAAAGACAACAACAAAAACACATCAAGAATAAGATAAATACAATGCCAACAAGAGCAGAGATCAAAGATATAAGAGCTTGTTGATGAGTAACTATTATGTACATTGATTAAAAACAGGTTAGATTTGAAGATCTATATTTCAAAGGCAGATTGTGAATGTTATGGCGTAGGTATAATCATTTGTGTAACTTACCGAAGCATTGGGCGTATTCATAGTCCCAAGTTGGACAAAGTTTTGGATCTTCGAAAGGACCTTTCCAGCCTGCTTGTACACACGTTTTGGACTGTAACAATTAGAACAATAATAAAAGATGTATAAGATTTATGATAATAAAGATTATAATTAATTTAATAATAATTAATATAATAATATAATAATATTAATCATCAATGATAAGAATGAATAATAGGAATTGGCACAAATGCAATAACGATAAATTGCGAACGAAAAATAAAAAGTGAAGAGGCAAACGAGAAAAATACTTACAGGGACACAGAAACCACATTCCAAATGAGTTGTACATTCACCACACGAAGTAAAATTAGAACAATTTATCAAAGAATCTATCATTCGAAACAGTCAGAAGTTTATTAGATATGAGAAACCAAGAATAAATAATACCAAATTCATAATACCAACGATAATGAATAACCCACCTGTGTAGTTATCAAAACCTAAAGTCGAATGCGCATTGAGTAATACTGACGCAGCGAAAGCACTAGCATAAAAATATATTGACCGAGAGGGCATAGTGAAGATTTCAAAGTACTACTAGTCTAAAATTAGTGAACGGTTGACTTTTTTTTTTTTTTTTTTTGCAAGGGACCTTTAGAAGAGATACCTGTCGGGAAAGTTAGTTTTTTATGAGCGTGAAAGGAACGACAAGAATCGTTATCGTTATCGTTAATAAGGAAAACACGAATCCAAAAGCAGAGAAAGAAAAATTTTCCGTCAACAGCGTACGGGAAAGGAACAGGCACCTAAACAGGCGTTTGAACAGGGTTTGGGAGAGCTTTATAATCAATAAAAATTCAAAATTCTGATATATACACAAAAAAAAAAAAAAAAAATCTAGCCGTTGTGTTAAACCCACGCACATATATATATACACATATATATATGGTGAATAATCGACCTCAAAGAATTATACGTATAGATTAACTTATTTATGAGTAGTGTAGTACAAAAATCCAGAAAATCGAATTAAAATTAGTGAGTTTATTTAGTGTTTATCTACACACAAAAGAATTTTACGTATTATAAAATCGTTGCCTATCTCTTATATATATATAAAAATGTATTAATTAGATTTACTGAAATTTATGAAATTAAATCGAAAAAAGTAGTTGCTCATCCCCATAATCTTATGATGCAAGTGTATTAATCGGCGATAAATGGTTAAACCCCTGCGTTGTTCACTTCGGAAAGCTTCTATAATATTCCGAATAAAAGTAGCTTGTAACACTATGCAATCGAATGCGAACGTGATCATAGCTAACCCAAAAGAAAAGTTTAAATAGTCAGAACGATGATACATTTAAAGAATTTGTAATATATGCTACATTCGTGCTTTCGTGCTTACGTACAATATATGCAGCGCTTAGCGTTGAGATTATCTTTATGGCTTAGCATTGCACGTACGTACGTATGTGTAAGTTGAATATTTCACGTGGGAAAGATAAGAAAACTTATTTGCCCGACAGGAGTGGTATTCTTTTAAATTTCGAGACAGGAGACTCTATTGATTTCTGGTTTCTTTCATTGTTCTGTAATTAAAGTTTTTCTTATCTCTATGGAAATTTCAAGTTGTAAACAGGGTAATTAAAGTATGGCTTTGTGTTCATTTACGATACCTGGGAAAGATTGAATAATATCAAGTAAATAACAAGTTTTTCATAAATTATCATTGGATACTATGAATAATAATCTTAAATGACGTTCATCACCAATTTCCTTTTACGGGTTATCAGAATTCTTAACCCCCCAATTATTTGATAAATAGGAGTCTCAAACACAAAGTATTTATTTTCCTAATTGCACGTCTTTCAGTATTTTTACTCACGAATGACCTATACACACGAACAGATAATATATTATTTTCATATTCTTCAATTAATCGATAAATAGTAATATGCACAATGGGTGGCCAAAGCAAGCATTACTTATTAATTTACAATATTATTGCATTACTTTTCGAGTAATCAATCTAATTCAATTTTGACACTTTATGACTATGCAATTTATTAATTTCTACTTATCAGCAATTATCGAGTTCGATATCATCAAGGATGCTGATATCGGTTCGATATCGGTTTGATATCGGTTCGATATCGGTTCGATATCTATGGTTATTAAAGTTCATATTGGCTCAAAGTTTAGAACATTTTAAAAAAGCATTTGTTTTAAGGTCTGACACCTGTAAAGGCAAAATCTGGACTTGTTTATTGTCTATTCTTCACACTGGGTATACCCATAGTCTGACTTAGCATATATATATTGTCGGGGATGATGCTGAAATCGGATGATGCTGAAATTCACGTGATCACATGATGATCTTCTGTATAAACACCT